ACTGGTTTCGCCCTGCCTTGGGCTCATCAGGGAGACGACAATAGCCTCCGACTAGTTGTGCCTTCTCTTGCAACGATCCCCTTCATAGCCACATCCTGACTCGTCCAGAAATGATGCACAGGCAGACAACGCATTATCGCTAATGTCGCCCCCTTTACCCCTCTCGTGGCAAGACAACTAGATGGCAGCGTTCTTTAGACGATCAACACGGTCATGACATTTTGGGTCGTGACAGAATTCAATGGAAGGAGTGGCAGGGTCAGGGCGTTTGTGACAGGCGGTGATTAGAGTGGAATAGGGCGGCTGGCGGCACTGGAGTGTTTCCGGCGATGGCATCCCCTTCTTTTTCTATGTTTTTAGGGTAATAAATGAAAGTGAGTTGTGGCTTGTAAAATTTTTTAATCATAAATAATAGAATATAGCAGAATTAAAAGATTGACTAAATGAGACGTCATATAAATATTTTCAACTCAGCAATTAAGTTGTCACGTCAGAGTCAACTAACGGTCAATTGGATGGAAAGTTAACGGTTTGACTATTATTTTGTTTTTCGAAAGGTTTTGCAATTATTTTGTTTAAGATCAAAGGTTTGGCTAATATATTGTATTTACCCAAAATTCTATTGTAGAATCGAGAACGTGTGGCGAGGTGGCGAAGGAGGCACAAAGCTTAAAGAAAAAACTGAGTTAGTAGGTTGGAAATTGCAGCTCTTGCTCCTTGGTTAGCTGTAACTACTAGAGAGATAAGATCAGCAGTTGAAATAAGTCTTTTGTACCTTACGACATATGAAAAGATCAAGTTCTAAGAATGTCAAATCGACATCCTTTGGAGACAGGGAGGATAATCCTTCTATTGAGAAACTGGTAAGCAAGAACGTGCTAGGCAGAGGACAATCTAAACTCAGACAATGTGGTGAAAGCTCAGCTGGTAATTCTCTGGATATGACATTAATTTTGGCAATTCTTTTCAAAAGATTCCTGCAAAAATAGCTCCATTTTTCTTCTAAATGGACTGTTGTAGCTGTCTATCTCCTCTCACTCTCGGTTGCCATAAACGAACACCGATAGTGGTGCATTGGCTTCTTCCGATCACGGTTGCGAATTAGGTAATTCTTTACTTTCGATGATGAATGGTGTATAGGTATCATCGTGTAACAGATAAATTTCTATCTCTTCTATTTCTCTAGGCGACAGTTGGCTGGAACATTGCGGCAAGTATAGCTACTGGAAAACATCAATGAAAAACAGGGTTCTTTATCTTATTTTAGCAACCAGCAGCGCTGGAATGCAATAACTTATCCTTATTTTGGGCGATGAGCGCGCATTTTCGCCAAACTAATCTAAGCCCCCATAAACAGAAAATGTTGTAGGTCTCTGTAAGGAAGAGAATGGGAAGCAAGAATGGAGCTCCATTCTGCTTGTAGCTTGCTCCTTCATCAACCAAACCAACTCTGTTTTCCCCTGCTTTCCAGAAATCTCCTGTTTTGCAATTTTGAGCTCCATTCTACTTGTACCTTGCTCCTTCACCAACCAAACCACCTTTGTTTTCATTGCTTTACAGAAATCCATTATTTTCCATACCCGAGCTCCATTCTACTTGCAGCCTACTCCTTCATCAACCAATCTACCTCTGTTTTCCAAACGTTTCATCAACCAAACCACCTCTGCTTTCCACTTCTCAGAAATCCCCTATTTTCCAAATCTTAGTTCCATTAAACAAGTAACTTGATCAGTAATCATAGGCGGAGGGAGGGTAGTTTGCCCTTGTCCTAGGACAGGGGTAAATTTTGAGAGGGGAAAAAATAAGGGTGCGCATACGGTGACATGCATGTCACGGTGACTTGCACTTTTCGGTCGACCTCAGTTAGGATTAGGTCGACCTCATTTAGGATCAGGTCGACCTCATTTAGGATTAGGTCGACCTAATCGGTTGTTTCAATGTAAAAACAGTTTCATGGTGCCTACTTTGGAGATTCATATCTTACAATTGGCTCGATGTAAATTGGAGATTAATGGCTTGTTTTGAAGCTGGAGTGTCCCTCTACACATTAAAGTACTTGGGAGCTCAATAAGAAGTCCAAAACACCATTTTAAACCTGATCAAAATGCTATGCCAAAATTGGGAAATTGCCTGAATATGGGCAAGTCTGGGAACGTGTTTGTGAAGCCTACTTTGGAACTCAATTCAAGAAGCATGAATGTGAATAGAGTCCAGGGGCCTCTACCACGTTAAATTAGGTATGTTTTTATACAAAGTCAAGGCATTGGATCAAAGATTGGATATTTGTAAGGCTTCAAACAAAAGGGTCGAAGTTGCTACGAAAACTGTTTTTCTGGCAGACTTCGAGCACAAGCAAGCTCCCAGAAAACAATCTTCGTAGCAACTTCGATCTTTTTGTTTGAAGTCTTACAGATATCCAATCTTTCATCCAATTTCCATCTAGCCAATTTTAAGATATGAATCTCCAAAGTAGGCACCATGAAACTGTTTTTACACTGAAACAACATATTAGGTCGACCTAATCCTATATGAGGTCGACCGAAAAATGCATGTCACCGTAGCAAAGTCCTAAAATATAACATGTTCAATTTCAAATAAATTCACATGCAAAGAGACTTACCAAGAAAATAATAAAAATATATAAAGGAGACTTGCTTAGAAAAATAGGGAAAAGAGTGTAGGACCTAGGAAGAGCCAATTTATTAATTTAAGCAAAATGAGTTTTGAAGGAAAACATAAAGGAGACTTGCCCTCATCCTTAAAGTAAAAGGGTGTAATGAGAGTTAATTAAAGCAAATTGAGCTAAAAATAAACATATGTATCAATTCAATTGATTTGTTTAGTATAATAAACATATAATATGTAATGGGTATTGGCAAAATTCTCATCTCTATTCATATCTTCTGTTCTGTCATCATCGTTATTTTGTCCTTTTGTTCAAAATTGCATTGTTTTTTTATTTGCTGATTTTTTTTTCATTCACAGATTTGCTCATTTTTCGTGTCGGATCACTTTCGAACTGCAGGGATTATGTTTTCGTACGTGAGATAAGCATATAATCTTGAAAGGAGAGAGAAGCATATACTAATTAGTAATTACATTTAGATTCTTTTTATAGACAGGTCTACTGTCTATGTGAAGTAATAAATAATAAATTAACTACATGACCATGAAAAACAAAAGCAAAAAAGGGGAAGAGTTTGGTTTCGTGATGCAGACTTGCAAAAACATAAGTGGGCATGAAGCGATGATCCTTTATTAAGGATCTTCGAAAACGAACAAATGCCTCCTAATATATAATTATATTTTTCTACAGCAATTAAATTCAGTTAATGATCTATAGTATTTGTATTGCTTGACCATGCGCTTGAATACATATGACATGCACGTTTAATGTGGTAATTGAAGATTGGTAATAAAATGTTAAAATATAACTATAAATTTTCGTGCTTTTTAATACCGTAATGTATAGCAATTTTCTTTTATAGCTACGGTGATGCGTACTTTAGTAATAATAATGTACTAAGAGAAATATATTTAAAAAAAAAATCCGCAAAGTCATGATATCCTATAAAACATAAAACCATATCAACGAAACAATAAATGAAAAAAAGAAGAGAGGATATGATACAAATCGATACACATATAGGTTACATGTTTATAGATAGATAAAATCCCCCCCGATAATTATAAAATTCAATGTACTCAAAATCGCACTTAAAAACTTAGAAACTTACGCTTTTATATGTCTAGATCTCCAAAACACTTTTACGTAGAATCACGCTTTTCATTTACAAGTATAGTATAAATCTACACTTTAAAAATTAAAAACTTATATTTTTACGCTTCTAAATCACCAACACGTTTCTACATAAAATTGCGATTTTAACTGCATTAAACATCCTTACATTCTTCTCACTTGATTGTTTGGGTTTGAGCCCTAATCATGATCACATGGAAGCCTTTTTGTTTAAGAAAAAAGAAAACGCACCCTCCTTTTTATAACCCTATGTTGCAGAAAAAGTGTCTCAAGTCTCAACCAACCTATATAGTAATACAATGTGAACTATGTTCGGCAAACTTTATATTCATACATATTATAACACCTTAGCAAAATGTAATATCAATAAAGTATGAAAGAGATTCATAAATATAAATCAATTTAGCATAACAGACTCATTTGGGAGTGAGATGAAGAAATTATTGTAAGAACATTAAAATTAATCGTGCTTAGGATGAAATGGTTGTTTTTGCACTCCACAAACCTGTGTTCTTGGGTTTCAACAAGCCCACAATAGGGAGAGTATGGTACAAACCGCTCCCCCATCTTCTTCGCAAGGCTCACATTCATTGGAACCAATGCCAACCTGCCATCTACTTTCTTTCAAGATGAAGTCCCGGACTGAGAGGATATTTCTCCACGTGTAGATTGGTCTGTACTCAACCACTGCATTCGACATAGAAAGTATTTCGCTTTGAGAATTCGGCCGACCAGGGAGTCCGACTTTAGAAGAGTTGCCAAAATTATTTAGCGAGTTCTCGAAGGCCGGTCGTTCCTCCGACTTCACGATCCGAGCACATAATGCGCCAATTATTGAGGGAAATTGGATATTAGATGCTCAATATTTTGTATTTTTACCATGGAAGAATGTATACAATTACAAAATCTACTAGATTTTATTTTCCATATTTCCCTTTTTAGCTTTCTCCCGCGTAGTGATTAATTAGTAGGATCCAATGATCCAAGTAAATACCATCATTAAGAAACTCTTATTGGGCTCCATCTTCAATCTTCATGGGTGTTATTATTTTTACTCCTCCAGCAAAACATGATTAAACCTCACACCACCACTCCTTAGTCCTTAACTATAATAATATGATCTCATTAAACCCTTCACTAATGCAATTTACTCACAATCACACTGCAAACATATATTAGGAAATCTAGCAAACTAGTATCTTTGTATAAATTAATACAAAAATTAAGAAAAGAAAGGCAAAAAAATATCTGCCTTCAATTTCAATTTCTCAGCCCGAGAGGCTCGGAACCGAACCACCATTGACCATTCCACCAGTGGCTTCTTTTCCATTTAATTTAGGAAAAAAAAGAAGAGAATTAAATTTAATAAATTATTACTACATTAAAGAAAGAAAAAAATAAGGGGAAAAGGGAAACCCAGAGAGTGAAAGCGTAGGAAAAGTTTCCCTCTTCTTTCTTTCTTTCTTTCTTTCTTTCTTTCCCCCCTGTCTCCTCTCGTTTCTCTTATTCTCCAATCTCTTGTTGGAGATCTTCTTCTGCTGCATTCTCTTTGGTTTCTCTCTCTCTCTGTCTCTGGGAGGGGAATCATAATAACTGCTAGAAAGAAAGTGCCGTCGATTCATATATACTGTGATATAAATACTATATACAAACAGAGACAGACTCTGTTTAGTCAGTCGCGTGGTTTTGGATTTCTGGGCTCGCCTGAATTCCATGGGAAAGCTCTGAAATTCGGCGATTTGTCGTACTGGGTTGTTGTTAAATAAGGTTTTTGGAGGAAGGAGGAAGAAATGGCGACAGAGCGAAGCTCTTCACATAACTCTCTGGTTTCCGTTGTGGAGGACGTTCTTCAGAAGCATGGAATTCGGAGGAATGGCATTGATTCCGCTTCGAGAAAAGTCGACGTAACTTGTAAATGATCCCCTTCAAAGAATCCTTCCGTTTCCTTTTCTTGTTTCGATTGGTTGCTAATGTGTGTTTAGATGGTTGAATGAGAATCCGATTGAGATATGGTAATCAGGATTTTACCCACTTCGGGAGGGGAATTCTTAGTTTTTGGGTTTTTATTTTGTTCTTTTTTTTGGTGGTTCGTGTTTTTGCAGCGGCTAGGCGGTACGAAGCTGCAGAATGGCTAAGAAAGACGGTGGGAATCGCTGGGGGAAGCAAGGATTTGCCGTCGCAGCCATCCGAGGAGGAATTCAAGCTTGGATTGCGAAGTGGGATCATCTTGTGCAATGTGCTTAATAAGGTTCAACCAGGGAGAATCGCTAAGGTATTTTCCGTCTTCCATGTGTTCGATCATTTGCCTCAGAGAAAAAAAGAACAAGTATTGATTCATCCGTTCCCCCCTCCGCCAATCAATCTTGTGCTTAGGTAGTAGAAGGCCCTGATGATTCATATAATACGGCTGACGTGGCACCGCTGTCAGCATACCAGTACTTCGAGAATATGAGGAATTTCCATGTGGCTGCTGAGGAAATGGGGCTTCCATCTTTTGAAAACTCTGACCTGGAGCAGGTTTCTGAGATATTATATTTCTCCACTGTACTGTAGTTTTGAGAATTGGCTTTCCGTTATAGTAACTTTTGTTGATGAATTTCCAGGGAGGGAAGTCAGCAAGGGTCGTGAACTGTGTTTTGGCACTCAAATCGTATTACGAATGGAAGCAAAACGGAGGAACTGGACAATGGAAGTATGGTGGAAACCCAAAACCAGGAGCCTCGCCATTTGGCAAGTTTACAAGGAAGACTGCCGAGCCATTTGGGAATAGAGGATCATCATCATCATCTGGTGGTGGTGGTGATAGTGATGCCAATCGTGATGATTCTGAAGCAGTCAGTGAGCTTTGCTTATTTATATGATTTCTTACCATTTGATCCGAAATTGCTATGGTGTTTGGAAACAAACGTGAAACTCTAATGGACGCTTAACGTTTCTCAGACCGGACCTCGTTCGTTGAACATGCTAGTTCAGGCAGCGCTTTCACATAGAAATCAGGAAGAAATCCCCAATGTGAGTGTTTCTAATCTAAAGCTCTAGTTATTGCTCTGAAGGTGGATCCGGATTCCATAACTGAATGCATTCTCTTAACAGATTGTGGAATCTATGCTGAGTAAACTGATGGAAGAGTTTGAGCGTCGGCTGGCAACTCAAAGTGAAGTGGTAAGTTCATAAAGTATGTTGATCGTTAGTTGAGGTATGAACTACTATATGAAATTTTGCATTTTCTCGCCTCTTTTATCATTTTGAGCAGATGAAGACATCAGAGAAGGAAGTTGCAGTATCAACTGTGGAGTCTTCTCCTCCGGAATCTCCTTCTAGTGATATGAAGATGGAAGATCAAGCTTCTCCACAGATGGATAGGGAGGAATCTTACTGCGTGGAGTCGGGCAATTTGCAGTATAGTACTCGAGACAAATCAGATGAACTGAGTCAAGAATCGAGGAGACAGCTTGCGAGACAGAGGATGTTTGTTGAACAACAACAGATGTACATTCAGGTAATTCACACCTATTAACACATCTAAACATTGGAAACCTTACTATGGGGTCGTTTGACTAGTAGAATTGAGTGGTGAATTTGAGTATTTTTGTTGTAATGGTGAGTGGACAGTGGCATTGAAAGAGATTTAGAAATATAGCAGTGGGTTGGTTCCAAATAGGTGGAAAATATAAGAGTAGAACGAGCAAATTGACATTTTAATCAGACGACCCACATTCCACTTATTGGTAAACCATCCAACTATCAACATTTTTAGAGCCACCACCCTAATCTATTTCAAATGCTATATATCCTTAACAATCTACCTATTTCAACCATCTACCGGCCAAACAACCCCTAATGTTTTGATGCTAGTGCCTGTAGGAACTGAGACGAAACCTGCATGCAACGAGATCAGGAATGCAGTTTCTACGGACCAAGTACCTGGAGGAGTTCAACAACCTAGGTGGGAGATTATTGATCAATCTCTGCAGTTAAATTTTCCTCTGTAGAAGGCCTAAAGCTATCTCATTTCTGTAACAGGGAAGCACTTGTATAGTCTTGCTCATGCCGCTTCCGGGTACCAAAGAGTCCTCGAAGAGAATCGCAAGTTATACAATCAAGTGCAAGACCTGAAAGGAAAAATTAGAGTATACTGCAGGGTGAGACCATTTTTGCCAGGGCAAGCAAGTCGGTTCAGTACTGTGGATCACATAGAGGAAGGAAATATCTCCATTATCACACCTTCAAAGTATGGGAAAGAAGGGAGGAAGAGTTTCAGCTTCAACAAAGTTTTCGGACCTATGGCCACTCAAGGTCAGTAAACAAGCTTATCTACACCTTGTAAGCTTCATTTCGTTGTTACATTGATAGAATCCGTTTTGATGATACCCTTTTGTCTTTGCTTGCAGCTGAAGTATTTGCAGATACTGAGCCACTAATTCGTTCTGTTCTTGATGGGTATAATGTCTGTATCTTCGCTTATGGCCAAACTGGTTCTGGGAAAACTTACACCATGGTAAGAACATGACACTCAATTTAATACCCTACTGAATTTAGGGGGTGGCAAATATCAACCCAACCCATTTAAATCCATGTAACCCAAACAGGTTTGACCTAAATCTATTAAGTTGGTCGGTTGATAGGTTTTTTAAATCATCATTTAGTAGTACATCAACTTTCGTGTCTTATATTTTATTACCTAAACTTTCATAAATGCTCAAAAAAGTAATGCATAAAATTACAGTTAATAATTTTTTCAAGAGAACTCCATGGATTCTCAATGACCCCTCAACTCATTTAAATTAAACCTTCACCCACAAATCCATGAACCTGCCAACTCAACCAATGTGCCACCTCTAGCTCTCGTTCATTAGGTATCGAGTAACCTTGATCGTTTTTGCCTCAATTTGAAACCAGAGTGGTCCAAACGAGCTCACGGAAGAAAGCCTAGGTGTCAACTACAGGGCATTAGGTGATCTTTTCCAGTTATCAGCTCAACGGAAAGAAGTTATAATCTATGAGATCTCATGCCAGATGCTTGAAATTTACAACGAGCAAGTGAGAGATCTCCTTACAAGTGATGGTCTCAACAAAAGATATCCTTTCCCTATCGACGTTGTACAGTTTCCTGATAATTCCTTGCATTGTTCATTACCACTATTATCCAAATGTTTCTTCTTTAACATCTGCATACATTAGAAATACGCAACAGTTCTAGCAATGGAATCAATGTACCTGAGGCTGTCCTGGTACCAGTGTCATCTACTTCTGATGTCATAAACTTGATGAACACCGGGCATAAGAATCGTGCAGTGAGTGCCACAGCGATGAATGATCGGAGTAGTCGATCCCATAGGTGAGTCTTTGTTTCATATGCTTTAGCTTTATGTCTCAATTTGTGAACTTTAAGGGTCCATTTGGTAACAAGACGATTGTAGAATGCATGGATGCGGGTAATTCACGTGTTCTGAAGATATGATTCTATTTTCGTTCTAGATTCAGGACAATCCTCCAGAATTATAGGACCCTAAACTGACTTCTCTGTTATCTGGGAGCTAATGGCATCTGATTGCATCAACTGCAGCTGTCTGACTGTTCATGTTCAAGGAAGGGATCTGACATCCGGAAATGTAATTCGTGGCTCCATGCATCTAGTTGACCTTGCCGGCAGTGAGAGAGTCGACAAGTCTGAGGTAACCGGAGACCGATTAAAGGAGGCTCAGCATATCAACAAGTCCCTTTCTGCATTAGGAGATGTGATTGCTTCTCTTGCAGTTAAAAGTAATCATGTTCCTTACAGGAACAGTAAACTCACACAGTTACTCCAAGATTCACTCGGTAAGAAAAAGCAAAGAGAAAAAGGATTTCAGCTTTCCTTCCTGCATATTGTTATTTCTTTTAACTGTGATAATTATCTGCCAGGGGGGCAAGCCAAGACGCTAATGTTTGTCCACATAAGTCCTGAGCCTGACACTCTTGGAGAAACACTCAGTACATTGAAATTCGCTGAACGGGTTGCTACTGTTGAGCTTGGTGCAGCCAAAGTTAACAAGGAAAGCACAGAGGTTAAAGATCTCAAAGATCAGGTCTTTCTCACCACCTCTCCACATACTTTTCCATTTGGTGATTCAGAATTTCCCTTCTTTAGATGTAAAGCTAAACTCATGGCTGGTCATCTCAGATTGCTAGCCTCAAGGCAGCTCTGGCAAGGAAAGAAGGAGGTGAGATGGATCAATCCCAACATTCCGGATCAAGTACTCCAGAAAGACTCGGGTCGAGGACTGGTGGAAATTCTCCTACCCAGCACAGTTGGCATGGGGGAAATAGCAGCAGGTCAAATGGTCATGGGCAAGCAATTGAAGAAGCCAGCAACAACCAGGTGAGAGAAGAAAGAACTACCCTGACTTTGTTGCAAAAAGTGTAGTAGTCATTTCCAACAAAGTCAATCTCAAATGAGAGCTTGCTTGCACCACACTCTTTGTCAGGGTACGAAGAACTTATCATCACCATCCATGGTACGAAGGAGAAGCTTTGACCCATATGATTTACGAGTAAACTCACCGCCAAATTGGCCAGCCAGTGAAAGGGCAGCATCAGAGAATGGGAAGGAAGACGACAAGGAGTCGTGTTCAGGTGACTGGGTTGATAAGGCAGTGGTGAACAAGAATGATGAGCAATGGGAAGTGGAGAGCAGCAGACAATTGCCAGATGCATTTCATAAGGGTTTTGCCAGAATCCACCCTGAAATGTCGTCGTTTAATCATAAACCTGCAGCAAACATCAACAGAAAGGATAGCCACCAGCAGCATCACCAAGATTTTGAAATGAGGAGCAGCAGGGGTGAAGCAATGTCCACCGATAGTTCGGATGATCTAGACCCTGGCACCAGTGATTCATCTGAGCCAGACTTGATGTGTCAGTCTGCTTCTGCGGTTTCAAATCTTCCTAGAATGTCCAGCACCAGCAGTCTTCCCACCTTAACAGGAGGCGGTGCTACTAAAGTAAAGAAGCTGAATACTAAGCCATTGAAGACTACAGAGATCAGGTACTTTCTTCAGTCATCTCAATACAAAGACTCGGCCTAACATAAACTATAAAACAACCCAACTTTGTTATATAACATTATTTTCAAAGTGACAAATATGACATGAAATATCTACTCTGGTACAAATATGTCGCACATTTTCATGTTAAGACTTGAGACTTGATAGTTCATTCAAATGACATCGATAGAGTTTTGAATGATGCAAACATGACCTTTATTAATGTCATGTTGTTGAAACTTCTATATTGGTGTTGTTAATTGAAATGGGTTCTTGATGCCAGCTTATTAGAGAATCTATGTGGCAATTTTACTATTGACTCAGATGTGGTGATATAGTTACTAATTAATCTACTTAAGGTAGCTAAGTTGACAGAAAGTGACGAAATAACCATTTCATTACTCGGTGCAAAATTTAAGCACAGAGGTGATTGAATCAAATATTTGGCACCTTATTGTTAGTAATCCTAAAGTTAAGAGTGATGATTTATGTTGAAACTGACCTTTTTTAAGAGAAGATCACTCCTTTTGTATTCAATTGACCATGCTTCTTCGTTCTGTTTCTTGATTTGGGTTTAGCAGGAGTATGATCCCATCGTTGATTCCTTCTCCTTCATCAACTGCAAAGAAAATACCTAATGGGGTTAGTCTGGGGCTAAAGAAGCCAGTAAAGCAACAAATCCTGGTGGATGTGAAGAGGAAAAATGGGTTTACGAAGTGATCCACGACGAGGAGAGAGCGACATATAGTGTATAAAGATTGTGTATTTGAGGAATTATGTTTCACTTTGACGTTTTATCTTTTCATTTAGTATATAGAGAAAAAAGAAAGCACAGAGAGAGAGAGAGAGAGAGAGTGAGAGAGAGAGAGAGAGAGAGGAAGAGGAGGAGGAGCTCTTTTACTTCTATTTTTTTTTATTTTGGGTTGGTTTGAGAATTTGTTGAAGAAAGGCAATCTGTTTTTGTTTGTGTTTCTCTTTCTTGTATGTTGGGTGTTTTATTTTTTTAAGAGATATCAAAAGAAAGAAATGAGAATTATAGAGTATCTTTCTTGTCTAACTTTTCCATGGACGGTTTACATTGTATTATTGTTCAACTTTTTGCTAGAGTGTTTTGAGATTTAGTTTTGTATTAAAAACCATTGCATGTTGCTAACTGCGACGATTTAGTATGCTAATTTCATACGAGTTAGTACCATGCTAACTATTTTAATAATCGGTTCATTGCAGTGTAGTTAAAATCGCACTTAAATGTTTAAAAACTTACGATTTTAAGTTTCTAGATCACCAAATTGCACTTTAATGTTTAAAAATTAATATAGTTAAAAACTGCGCTTTTAAAAAATTAAAATATATATCCTCTTTATCCTCTCTCAACCAGAGATTTAAAAAAAATTACTACTATAAATTATATACAACAATTACTATTCTACATTAGTAGTCGTTTTAATGATTTATAGTAGTAATTTCATGACTTTCGGTAGTGATTTAGAAAATTTTAATTGATAGTTGTTCGATCTCGGTGTTCATCGTGATCAGCTGCTATGTCTTTATGAATATGCTTATAGATTCACGATGTAGTTTGTGGTAATTGGGGATTTCAGTAACATTCTTTGTTGAACAAAGAAGAGGGGTAACTGACCTCGGTTGCCGACACAATCCTTGTATTAGTGTCACTTCATTGATGACTTATGCTCCGTTTGGCAACTGGGGGGTGCAAATTTGAGGAGGTACAAATTGTAGAGGAGAGCAACCTTAAAGGGAGAGCAAATTGAGGCGTAAATTGTTGTTTGGGAGAAAAAGTGGGAAGGTGCAAATTTTATTATAATAACATTATAACAATTTTAGCAAATAAATAAATAAATAATTCTCCAACTTACCCCACTCAGCCCCACCTCCTCTCCTTTCTTTCCCTCAGCCAAATTCCTTTCTTCCTCTCTCCTTCCTCCCTGGCCCCGCCTCTACCCTCTTCTCTTCTTCTCCTTCCCCTTGGCCCCACCTCCCTTTCTATTTCCTTTGCACCCCAAAATGGGGGTCGTCAGAACAATAGATTTATTCCCTCTTTGCGCTCCCCTTCCACTGTTCAAAATGATCCAAATAGGCGCATCTGTCTCGGGAACATAATTTGCACCCTTACAGTTGCACACCCTCCCTTTCCAAACAAAGTGTTAGGTTTGCTTGATTCTGGCTTTATAAGGTCATCGTCCAGATGCACGAATAAACGCAGTGGAGCAGCTTTGGTAGAGGAACGTCTAGATCTGGCTTTGGTGTCCTAGTCATGGTTGAATTCCTTCCCGAAAACAACTTCAGTCACTTGGGAAATGATGGTTCTGACCACATGGCTCTATTTCTTTCTAACTTTAGTATCCCATGCAGGTCTCCTCCCATGAACGTTTCACGTGTTGGGATCTCGTGAGCGATAAACTAAGAAAAACTGAAAAAGTATTGGTTTATTATTTTCTAGTGAATAAAACGTAGAGGTAAAGTACATATTTATAGGACAAGTCCCACAAACCCTCTCCATCTCAAACAAGGAACCCCAATCCTAACCGATTACATCCCTAACAAGTAATAATAATACCCAAAAAGAATATCCTAAATTAACAATAACAATAATAATAATGGAAAATAGCTAATGGCCCATGCGGCCCAAAAAACGTGTACGCATCACTGTACTCACTTCTTCGTACATGGACCATTGTTAACTTTAACCATACGTGGATAACACTGTTGCCAAAGGTTAATTCAGTGGAGAATACGATGCTGTGAGATCAATTAGCATGTGCCAGTTCGTATATAAGGCAGTGAGAAGCTAATGTCGGAATGATTAGCGACTATTCTACTTGACATCATCTCAGTGAGACAGAACTCATTCATTCAGAATTGTCACATTGTGGAGAATGTAATAATTGGCCAAGAAGTGATGCAGGAGTTGTCCAGGCCGAAAAGGACAAAAAGTATGGGCTAACGACAGTTAAATTGGATATGAAAAAGCCTACGACTGTGGATTCATTGTGTTCAACTGTGTGTTACTCATCCAAGCTTCTTAATGATGCTTAATGGGTTCCAAATGAGATATTTTAAATATTCGTGGGTTTGTTTAAAGAGGTTGAGGCATCATTTGTATGATATGACTAGACAGGAAATGTGTAATTCTCAATGCCAAATCCGCGTTCTACATAGGGGCTACTCAACCCCCTGGTTCGGACGGGTTTACAGGGAAACTTTATAGAGCCTATTGGGACATAGTTGGTCCGTCAATGGTGGAAACATTTCAATCTTTTTTCTCGTAGGGACGACTTCTTCAAAGTTTTAACCACACATGTCTAATCTTGGTGCCAAAGGTGGATGTAGTGGAAACTATGAAGCAGATCAAGTCAATTAGTTTGTGCAAGTTGTTCTATAAAATAAATAAATGATATATAAGATTATGGCGAATCAGATGGCGAAGCATTTGCCAAGAATTCTCTCTCCAGCGCAAAATGTGTTCATCCAAGATCGCCAAATTCTTGATATTGTCGTGATTGGACATGAGATTATGCACTACCATAAGATTAAGAGAAAAGGAAAGAAAGGATATTTGGCTATGAAGGTTGATATGGAAAAAAAATGATAGAGTTGAATGACCCTTCTTTTTTTAGATTATGGCTAAGATGGGTTTCAGTGCTCAATGGATTATTTTGGTTAAGGAATATCTTTCCTCTTCGAATTTTCTGTTCTTTATGAATGGTCAGCCATCAGGGTAGGTCGTCACATGCGTTGCGTCAGGGGGACCCACTATACCTCTTTTGTTTGCCTTAGGGCTAATACCACTGGGAAACCCGAACTATTAACTTTGTGTCATTTGTGTCCTAAAGTATTCGATATGACATTTGTGTCCTAAACTATTTGTCCGTTAGAGTTGACTGACGTTGACCGTTAGTTTTTAACTGAAAATCTAGTCAGCGCTGATGTGGCATCCGACGTGGAATATTATTATTTATTATTTACTTATTTTATTATAAAAAATAAATAAACTAACAAAAAGAAAATTACAAAATACAAAAAATTAAATCAAGATCCAAATCCCAAAATCCAAACCCAAACACATCTTCTCCCAAACCCAAATCCAGAAAAAATCCCAAAACCCAAACCCATCTTCATCCTCACCTCCGCCGCTGACAACACATCCTCCTCCTGGCCGCCTCTGACGCAGTCACCTGCAACAAACAAGAACAAACCAATATCAAATACCATCTCCAAAAATCCATCCCAAATTCCATCTCCGAAACCCAACCCAGATCTCAATACCACAATGAAATCAGAAACTCCAACACAGATGGGAGGCGAGCGGTGGCTGTGGGTGGTTGTGGCATTTCACAGCGGTGGGAGGAGACAAAAACAAATTCCAGTTCTGGCAAGCTAATTTACTTCAAAGTTCAAACCTTTTGAGCGGCTGTCGAAGCTCCGATGAAATTGGGGATCCGGTGGTGAACGGGTCGGGGAATCTGAGCGAAGTTCCGGGCCTCCATCAAATCCCAGACCCGCTTCCGGATTATCCACTTCCAAGCTTTCGGATCCTCCGCCTCCCGCCGTTGGCTTCCATCATCTCCCTCGCCAAAGCTTCGGCCATCGATTGTCTCGCCAACGCATCCAGCCGAAACCTCTACGCCTTGTACGCCGCCGTTGGCTTCCATGATGGTGCTCTGCACGTGTCACTCCGCTTCCGCCGCCGCGGCGGAGAATCGTCCAAGTCAGCCGGGTCTGACTTCGCTCACGGAGGAGCTGCTGCAGATGGCAAGAGAGCCGGAGTTCTTGGGATGGCAAGAGACGGCGAGTCAGCTGGTGAGATCGGAGCTCGACTCGCTCGGGATTCGATACACTTGGCCGGTGGCGGAGACCGGGGTCGTTGGGGATCGAGGCGGTGGATCTGGATCTAATCTGAGGGGGATCTGAGGGGAGTGGGGAGAGGAAGGAGAGCAAGAAGAAGAAGAAGGGATGACAGATGAGAGATGTTGAGGGAGGAGGAGGCGGCCCGATTGAGGAAGAGAGAGGATGCCCGGCGGATTTGGCGGAGGAGATTGACGGAGTGGGGATTGGTGGTTTAAAACTTCGCCGGAGAGAGGAAGAGGAAGAAGAGGGGCGGCTTTTTTATTTTCTTAATTATTTTTTATTTTATAATTTTATAATTTTAATTTTTATTTAGTTTTAGTAAAAAATATGATGTGTCAATGACGTGGCATCTATGTGGCTGCCACGTCAACAAAAGTCAATGTTAATGTTGACTTCCGTTTGGTCAACCGTTATCTATAATGGTCAACGAAATCGTCAGGACATAAATGACACACAACTATCATACTTTGTGACACAAATGTCGTATCGAATACTTTAGGACACAAATGACACAAAGTTAATAGTTCGGGTTTCCCAGTGGTATTAGCCCTTTGCCTTATGTACTAAAACCTTTGCTGCTTTACTTAGGCAAGCAATTTCTGAAGGTGATCTAGTTGGGTTGAAGGTTAGTCTGCAGACTCGCTAAAACACAACACCAAACTACGACCAAGTGTAATCGCAGAATGGTGGTTCCGTTTTAATGTGAACCCAGGTCCTAGATGTATTGCCTACTCCGTGAATTTCTATTATCTAGCAGCAAAACTGTAGTGAGTTGTTCAAGGGGAAAGTAAACAAAAAGCAGGAAATGTTCTGGTTTTCAAGCGGCTAAAGGTCATCCAGATATGAGTCCCCCTAGTATGCAGTTAGTTAAGATTATATATTCCCAATTTACTCCGATGGATGGATATACTGCGGAAAGTTCTTGAAAAGTCTGGAATCTTGACTAAAGTAATCCAGACCCTCTCAGCTCGAATACCTGACATGCGGCTAACCTCCACCGACATAAACTAACCAAGGCAATAATATATCAAACTTCCTGTACTGGCTTTGATTCCAATATAGAGCGGTGAATCGATTTCATGACTATAGAAATCGATTCACCACTTCCAATGCAAGGTTGCTCTATTAACCTATGCAAAGACTACCGTTCTAGGTTAATGCAGGAATCACAAAAGTTTGATCAAGACTCATGTAATTCTAATTAATGCCTCAATTGAATATATCGAATCAATCATTTGCAAACACGGTTCATACAACCATTCCTAACATACAAAACTAGGGTTCTTCATACCCAGATGAAAGGGGTAATTGCAAGGTTCGTCACTAGAATTACAAAAAAGGTTCATCTTTGGTCACTAAAAATATTTAATTCCATTCATGGTCACTAGATTTAGTAAAACAGTCCAAATTTAGTCACTCTCCGTTAGTCTCCGTCCGTCTCTGTTAACACCGTTAGTTTTTTGCTGACATTGCTAACAGACTCGCCTAATCAGCCAATTTCAACCATGAAAAATTGAAATCCGACCTGCCACATCATCTAAACCTGCCACGTCATATAAATTATAACCCAACACATAACCCAACCCAAAACCCATCTAATCAGCCAATTTCTTCAGCAATAGCTCCACTATAAGATCCAGATTCGTCACCAACTTCCCCTGCATCATCTGCTGCTCTACTTTCAGCTTGTGCGGCTGGATCGATCGGTCATTGAGGAGCTCGCTGTTGGCGCCTTTGTGGAGCACTCGCTGCCATGCTACAAACTTCCCGGAGCTCCCACGCCATTTTCCTTGAGAAACCAGCAAGAATCGAATGTCGCTGCTCTCAACTCCGGCAACGATTTATTCCATTTGATGTTTTGAGCCAGAGAGGAAGAACCCATTGTCCTTTCACCTCTGCATCTGGTACATAGACATCATTGTCGGATCTTGATTCGACGTGTGATGGAGAGTGTTGGGAGCTCGCCAGCCTGATACCGCGAATCATCACTAACACATCGAATGATTTTGGGATCTGGGGTTCTTGGAAGCTTCAAAGGCGCGGAATCATCATAGGTAAGAAGCACAACACCATGTTCCTTCTTTCCTGAAGAGGCGAAGAAAAGAAGAACATGACCCAAAATCGTGCTCCAGTCCTTGGTTGCTGTGGAGGATGTCGCCTTCATTGCCATTTATTAGCGAGATTTCAGATCTACCTGCTGGAGAGATTTGGGGCTGGTGCTCGACGGTAGTTATGGATCTGGAGCTGGTTGTTGAGTGAAGGGCAACGATGGAGAGTGGGAAGAACGACAACAATGAGCTGGTCAACGTCTCTCCTCACATTTATGTACGCCGCTGAAGAAACCCAAAACCCCCCACCGATGAAGAAGAAAAGACGGGATTGTCGTCAGGATTCGGTGGCGAGATTGTCGCCGACATTAGGTTTAAAAAAATGAAGTGGGTGATATTCTCGCCGGGATTGGGTTTGGGAAAAGGGAATTTGGAATTTTGGGGTTTTTTTGGATGTTCTGGGCATCGGATACGGGGAAGAAAAGTGAACAAAAAGTAGAGAAGATGGATTTCTGATCTGGAAATAAAAACGTGATAAAAGTTATTTTGTTTGAGTGGGTCGGTTCATAGGCCAAACTGGTTCAAGGGTTAGGTTGGACAAGGTTACATGGCGGGTCGGGTTTCATCATTTTCGGGTTAAATTAGGCTACCTAGACTATTCTATTAGCCACGTCAGCAAATAACGGACTTAGTTAACGGAGACAGACGGAAACTAACAGAGAGTGACCAAATTTGGACTGTTTTATTAAACCTAGTGACCACAAATGGAATTAAATATTTATAGTGACTAAACATGAACCTTTTTTGTAATCTTAGTGATCAACCTTGCAATTTACCCTAGATAAAAGGGGAGTTTACTCCATGGAGGGAAGGGAAAACATCAAGGTTGGAAGAGAAAGCATCTTGTGAGGAATGAAAAATCTGCTCCAAGCTAGAAATCAACACTCCGAGGGTGAAAGATCGAGCTCCAAAATCCTTAGATCTCTCCAATCTGCTCACAAGTTTTTTCTTAGTCACTTTCACTCTAGGGTTCTCTTTCTGCTTTTAGAACTAAAAATCCAGATTTTTTGCAATCTGCCCAAGCTGGCCTTTTAAAGGATGGAGATTCGCGAGTTACGACCAAAATTACGACCGTAACTCTCGTGTCCAGCCCGAACTTTAAAACGGTGACACTTCAAGCACTCTGTACACCAAGAGTTATGGCTCCAAAGGGGCAATTACAGTTGAGACCGTAACATTGAGGAGGAGGATGTAACTTGGAAAGCGCTCCTGGAACCGTTGGCATCGCTTCCTCAATGTTACGGGTGCTGAGGAGAAGTTACGATCCAGACCGTAGCTTTCAAGATCTGGCTGTAACTTTAAAAGTTCTTATGGATTCCCAGCCTTTTGCTCCTCCAAAGTTACGGTCCAAAACATCCAAAAACTCGCTCCTTTGCACCCATTCACGTATTAGGATCTGAAATATCATAAACCAACACAACCTAGCCTAAAATAGGCCACGAGAGCGAGAAAGCGAGCTCTCACAATCAAGAAATGACGGGGAATTTTTTTTTCAAATACAGTGTTATCATCCGTGTAGTCATATTATGTTACATTTATTCTTCGAGGAAGAGTCATAGTTGTTCCTACGGGGCTCGAAACAAGAATGTGAGAATCTGATTCAGTTCCTTCAAGAGTAGCAATCTCAAGTGGCCAAAAGGTGAATTTGACTAAATCGGCTGTTTGTTTTAGCTGAAATATTGACAAGGTTGATTGCCAAGAGATGGCTTAGATTTTTGGGGTGGGGGCTGTTGGAATGTCAGATAAGTATTTGGGGTTACCTAATTTGGTTGGTTGGTCTAAAACGGAGAACTTCAGTCTCTTGGAAGAGAGAATATTGAGCAAACTTCAAGGTTTGAAGCAGTGACATCTCTCATGGGCTGCGAAAGAGACCTTATTAAAGTATGTAGGTGCAGCGTTGTCTATACATGTTATGTTGTGTTTTTGCTTCCGCTGAGGCTTTGTCCTAAGTTGGACAGGCATATAGCCAGATTTTGGTAGGGATATATAGTGGAAGGGGACAAATCTCAATGGGTGTCTTTGTGGCAACTTTGTTGGAGCAAATCTGAAAGAGGATTTGGGTTTTGGCGGTTTCAGGATTTCAATCAAGCGCTTTTGGCTAAAGTAGCCCGAGGAATAATGACGGAGCCTGAGTCGCTGCTTACTCGAGTTTTATAGAGAAAGTATCAATCGGGTGCACATTTTGGAAGCTAAGCGTAGGTCTCGACCATTTTGGGGTGGCAAGGCATCTAATTTCATGTCGGGATCTCTTAGCTTCTGGCCTACAGTGGCAAGTGGGAACTGGTGACCAAGTGAGGATACTAGAAGATTTGTGGGTAACAGAGAATGGTTCAGCTGGCTTGACACTCAGACCAAATGTGCCTATTCAAGGTGGATAGTTAGTTTCGAGATTGCTGAATCCTGGAGTTGGAACTTGTTGTGTGAAATGTCTAAGGCATTGTTTTGATGAAGAGATTGTTGGTCGTGTTTTGGCAATCATGTTAATTAGATTCCCAGTTCAGGATCATTTAGTGTGGAGATTAGAACTTGGGGGTTTATTTAGGTACATCGGAGTACCATACGGCTATGCACATTAGTCGGAGTACAAAAAATATGGAAAGTTGAGGTGTCATTTTTTAAACAGCTTTAGGGAGACACGTGTGGTATTTTCCTATCCGTCAAAACTTAAGTTCTTCGTTTGGAAACTAATGCGAAGATTAATCTCGACAATTGAGAAGATCTAGGAAAAAGGAAGCCCCTGTGCTACGCGGTTCCCGGTTTGTTGGGATCATGTAGAGTCTTTGGAACATATGTTCTTGGCTTGTCATGTGGTAGTAGATTTGTGGGAACAGTGTGATCTTAGGGGGATGTGGGCAGGCTTAGAGGGGTTGAATATGTCGTTGGTTTTCCTGCGGATGGTGGAGTGGGATTCTTATCCGAAAAGCATACTACAACAAATTCGGTCTATTAGGACAAAAATTTTATTTTGTCATTTTCTGTTTGTCACAATAGGTACGGTGATATGACAAAAATAATATATGTCCTATTTGGTATGCCTAATGTAAAAAAATTCAGAATAAATCGTAATTTAAAGTGAGTAATGTGACATATATTTCGTGTCACAATTAATATTGTCAAAATAGGCGTCCCATATTGGGATGTAAGAGACTCCAAACTGACAAAATTTATATTGTCAGAATAGTTCGTCATTCAAAGTGAGTAATGTGACAAATATTTTGTGTCACAATTAAGTTTGTCAAAATAGGCATCCCATATCGAAATGTAAGAGACACAAAAGTGACAAATTATATCGTCAGAGTAGCTTTTGTCATATTATGCCTTGGCGAATTGTTTAAATGACAAAGTATTTTGTCACAATAGATAGCAATAATTCAATGGCAAGCTGACAAAAGGGACTGTTCAAATATAGTGGTTTCAGCTTTGAAAAACGGCATGTTCGTCATAATATAATGTTTTCATTTTTTACAAAAGACATTTGTCGTCAGATTTTCTTGTGTTAGATTGAAACCTCGTGTTAGACTGAAGCCAATCGGCCTGACAGAGGCATTATTTCCCTCCCAGATTTTATTCGCGCACAAAAATTTTCCCCAAGCCCGCCCCATTTTCCCACTGCAATTGAACCGAATTAATCTAACGTAAGGATTTTTATAAATTTCGTATTAAGAGTATGCATGACTAAATTGGCAGAATACATTAATTAACTAAACTCAAGAGGTAGCACAAGTGGTTTAATTCCCTCCCCAAATAGATGTCGTTTGAAACAAAATTGGGTAAAAAAACTAAAAAGTAAAATCCCCCTCTCACCTCTCACTCGACACTCAAAGTCCACACAAACCCTAATTCCCACACAATTCTCCCATTTTCCAATCTCCGCCGTTGCTCTCTTCTCTTAAGGAAATCCCAATTTCCATTCTAGCTCCAATTTATCTTTTTGATTCATCCATCCATCACCTTTTTCTTCTTCATCTTCTCACCTCCCTCTCTACTATGATTTTCTCCCCAAGCCCCAAGGCAGGCCTACCTCATCTAGCGAAAGTTGAAATGGCAATGAAGCTGCGAGCGATCGACGAGGCTACAGAGTTGGGGAGTGGCGAGAGAGAGCAGAGTCAAGGTCGTTGGCGCCGCATCCTCTTCCTCCGTGGCGCCTCCGATTCGTGTTCGAATCTTCCTAGATTCGAGTCCACCCAATTGTCCACCTACGATCCGATTTCTTGATCCATGATATAAATCGATGTTGTGTATAGAAAACCGTTGTCTCTTGCAGACCCCTTCTCCTCTCGTTTCTCACCGAAAAATCAAAACCCATATATGGCATTCCTCTTCGTATCGGCTATAACTATCGATCTGCTTCTCTTCTCTTCTATTTCATTTCGATTCCACGTCTCTCCTCTCAATCTACTCACGATTCTCTATCTTCTCTAGAATAGCAATGGCACGGGGAGATCTCCTCCAGAACAGCGGTGACCCACGAGATCTCCGCAAGAATAGCAATGACACAGCTACAACGAAACTCCTTGCAGCGATCAAAGAATCTCACGATGTGGCGGCAACATATGGTGTTGTTGACACCTACGAACGAAACTCATTACTCGCCAGATATTTTTATTTGCCTCTCTCTTTGGTCTGGTAAGGTTTTTTAATTTATTGGTTAATCTTGTTTGATTCTTATTTTTTCTTGTTTTTTATATCGGGTTTTGATTCTAGAGGGAGGCGAAGTGTCAGAAGGAAGGAGACTTCACCGACAACAACCAGTTTGGCCACGGTGACATATATGCAAGAGGGGAAAGTGGTGATATTGATTTAAAAATTCTCTTACTCTTTTCTATTTTGTTTATATTACGTAAATATTAATATGGATGACCACTACATTAGATGCACTTTTGGGTGTTACTTGTAACCACTCAACCCATTCCAATTCCACATTCATTTATATTGATTGTAAGAATGTAGATGTTATGTGATCTATTCCTATAAATAAAGGTTCTTCTTGTACTAAGAGATACATGAATAAGAAAATCTCTGTTCCCCTCTCTTCTTGTGTCTCTACTCTTACTCTTGTGTCTACTCTTCTTTACAATTATTTCATAACACGTTATCAGTACGAGATTCTGTCTTTTACAAAAGGTTAATTCCATAGTTGTTCTGCTCAAGGTATGTCGATTCTCCCAAATTGTTTTTTTATTGTTCTAATTCCATTTACATACCATTTCCTTTATTAATCAATGCATGAATTCTTTGTTTGAGAATGCAAAGGTATAATCTCCTTAATAAGACTTTTTTATAGCAAGTCATAGTTATATATATACTTCGTAGTAGTATAAAAATATTAGAATATTTTGTCTTTAGAATTTGTTTCTTCTAAAATTCGAATTTATTTATTTATTTGTAAAAGTATTGATTTGATATATCATGGGTCACATAAGTCTTTTTGTCTTGATAAGAATCTAATTTATTTATTTATTGAATTTTGACTTCAGTTTGTGTATATTTGTATGATAGTAAGTCGAATCTTTCAAAGCTTGAGTTTGTGGCTCTTGATGTCACAGGAAAGAATTACCTATCATGGGTGCTAGATGCTTAAAATTCATTTATCTGTCAACGGTCTTTGAAACACGATTAAAGAGCGTAATGAAGCATCGAATCAAGACAAAGCCAAAGCAATGATCTTTCTTTGACATTACCTCCACGAGGGATTGAAGAAGGAGTGTCTTACGTTAAAAGATCCACTTATTATGTGGACTAATTTGAAAGATCGGTATAATCACAAAAAAATTGTGATTCTTCCTAAGGCTCGTTATGATTGGATGCATTTGAGGTTACAAGATTTTAAATCTGTGAGTGATTATAATTAAGAGTTATTCAAAATAACCTCACAACTATTGTTATGTGGAGAAAATATTACTGGTGAAGATATGTTGAAAAAAAAAACATTCTTCATCTTTCATGCATCCAATGTGGTCATGCATCAGCAATACCGTGAGAAAAGTTTCAAGAAATATTATGAGTTGATTTCTTGTCTCCTTGTGGCTGAACAAAATAATGAGTTCTTAATGGAAAAATCACCAATCTCGTCCTACTAGTGCCGCCCCATTCCCAGAAGCGAATGCGACGACGTTCACCCAATATCCTTATGGGCAAATTCATGGACGTGGACATGGACGAGGACGTGGGCGTGGTCATGCTCGAGGCTGTGGTCGTGGCCGAGATCTTGGCCGTAGTAATGGTCGTGGTGAAAGTTCCAAAAGCTCATTTTTCCCAAGAAGTGGAAAAAATGATAGTAGAAGAGGCAAGGAACAAAGTGTTCATGGTAACAAACTTGTCAAAAATATGTGTTACTGTTGTGATGGAAAAGGTCATTGGTCGCGTACCTGTAGTATGCCAAAACACTTGGTTAATCTCTACCAAGAATAATTGAAAGGAAAAAAGATAGAAACCAATTGTATTTTTGAGGATGATTCAGGAAAAGACTATAATGATGCTACTCATCTAGATGTGGCCGACTTCTTTGTCTATGCTGAAGGAAAAATAGATCACCTGATTGGTGACGGGAATGTTCGTAAGTGAAAAGCCTAGGATTTTCATTTGCAATTTCTATTTCTTTGTCGCTTTGTTCACAAGTGAAAAGTTTAGGTTTCCTATTTGAAATTTCACTTTCTTTGTCATTTTCATTGAGTGTGTTTTTCCTATTAATGTGTCATTTTAATATAATTTTATTTTTATAATCCTATGGTGGTTTAATGTCATCTATTATAATCATGTCATTATTTTTATATTTATTCGAGGATATTTTCTTATATTGATTTAATTTCTATCTTTTGTGAAGAATGAATATTCCCATGCTTAGCACCAAGATAAAAAACCACGATGTGTGTTTTATCGATAGTGCATCGACACATACAATCTTGAAGGATAAGAAATATTTTTCTCATCTTGAAATGAGAGAAGCAAATGTTAGTACTATATCTGGAAGTACAAATTTAATTGAAGGCTCCGGAAGAGCTAGTGTATTGTTACCAGAAGGAACCAAATTATATATCGATGAAGCCTTATACTCTGCAAAGTATGAAATAAATTTATTGAGTTACAAAGATATTCGCAGAAACGGATATCATATTGAGACAAAGGAAGAAGAGAATAAAGAGTATATTATGATAACAAATATGGTCTCCGATAAGAAATACATATTGGAGAAATTGTCTGCTATTTCTTCTGGGTTGCACTACACGGTTATTAGTACAATTGAAACACATGGAGTGGTAAACCAGAAGTTCACAAATCTTGATAATTTTATAGTTTGGCATGACCGGTTAGGCCATCCCGGATTGATTATGATAAAAAATCATTGCAAATACAGGTGGACATCCATTGAAAGGTCACAAAACTTATCAGTTTAAAGATGTACCATGTGTTGCATGTTCTCGTGGCACGTTGATTATACGGCCATCACCTGTAAAAGTAAGGAATGAATCTCTTACATTTTTAGAATGTATACAATGTGATATATGCGAGCCAATTCACCCACCATGTGGACCATTTAGATATTTTATGGTTTTAGTGGATGTTCAACTAGATGGTCACATGTGTGCTTACTATCAAATCGCAACCTGACGTTTGCTAGATTACTTGCCCAATTCATTCGACTATGAGCACATTTTACTTATTTTCGAATCAAGAAAATACGTCTAGATAATGTTGGCGAATTTACTTAAAAAACTTTCAATTACTATTGTATGTCCATTGGGATTGATGTTGAACATCCTGTAGCACATGTTCATACAAAGAATGGCCTTGCAGAATTATTTATTAAACGTTTGCAACTTATTGCAAGACCATTGCTTATGAAAACAAGCTTGCCAATTTCTTGTTGGGGACATGCTATATTGCATGCGGAAACATTAATTCGCATCAGACCAACAAGTTATCATGAAATTTCCCCGTTGCAAATGGTTTTTGGTCAGGAACCTAATATTTCTCATCTAAAAATATTTGAGTGTGCCGTCTACATCCCTATTGCTGCGCCACAACATGTTAAGATGGGTCCTCAAAGGAGGTTTGGAATTTATGTTGGATATGAGTCCCCGTCAATCATAAAATACTTAGAACACTTGGCGAAAGATTTATTCATTGCTTGTTTTGTTGATTGTCATTTTGACGAATAAGTTTTTCCAACATTAGGGGGTGAGAACAAACAGATGGAAAAAGATGTTTATTGGAATGAATTATCATTATCTCATCTTGATCCTCGTACTAGACAATGTGAACTAGAAGTTCAAAAGATAATTCATTTACAAGGTTCTTTTACTGACCATAAGAGAGTGACAAAGTCAAACATACCAGCTGTAAATGTTCTAGTGAAATTTGATGTCCCTGTTGGACAATATGAAATTGCAAATGAATCTAAACCACGAATGAAGCGTGGTAGACCAGTAGGTTCCAAAGATAAAAATCCTCGAAAAAGAAAAGGAGTTATGAATCAAGATGGTCAAATTGAGGATATGAAAGCTCAAGATGAGTCCCCAAGCATAACTAAGATTGTAGTTCCTGCAGAACATCAGGTACCTGAAATTTTTCATAATGAAGAGATCTCAATCAATTATGTCTTGGATGGAAAATGTTGGAACCGAAGTGAAGTAATCGTCGACGATGTTTTTGCTTATGCTGCAACGTGGAGTGTGATGAATTAAAATGAGGATCATGAACCAAGATCTATCGATGAATGCAAGTCAAGAGATTATTGGCCCAAGTGGAAAGAGGCCATTGAGGCGGAATTAAACTCGCTTTCAAAGGGAAAGGTTTTTGGACCGGTAGTCCTTACACCAGAAAACGTAAAGCCAGTCGGATACAAATGGGTTTTTGTGCGAAAAGGAAATGAAAAGGGTGAAGTCGTGAAATATAAAGCACGTCTTGTCGCACAAGGATTTTCGCAGAGTCCTACCATTGATTATGAGGAGACATACTCTCCTGTGGTGGATGCAACTACGTTTCGATACTTGATTAGTCGGGCAATTCGAGAAGGACTAGATTTATGTCTAATGTATGTTGTGACAGCCTATTTGATTAGTCTAGATACGCGTGACGTACGCTAGTCTGACCCATATATATATATATATATATGGTGGCTTCTATGGTACCCCGGGCGAAATCCGGGGTACCGCATACCTCGAGTATGGAAACTCTATCTAGACCTCGAATTACCAGGATTTTTGTGTCTGATA